TGGACACTATGCTACCCTGGCTGCCTGCTCTATTGGTCATTCCATGCACTTTCCCCCACCCCTCAACACCTCCAGACCATAAGCTCTAGGAAGGCAGGGGCTGTGTCACATCTAAACTTTGGATCCTAAACTCTGCACCATGTAGCTACTTAATGTGGTTGTTGAATGAATGATGGAACACATTTGCAAACAGTCTCGAACCGTTTTGACATTTGGGGCTGCCAGCATTGTGCCTGTTTATAAATCATGCTCCTCAATATGATTCTAAGTTCCTTCAAAGACAGAAACTGAGTCTTCCCTCAGTGCCCCTACAGGAATCCTGTCTCCCCTTACCACATCTAGCACAGGGATGGCCATACAGCTTGTGTTCTATAAAGGCTTGCTGTACTGAGTTGAAATGCCCAATAGAATATGGAAGAAATCAGGAACTGGAAATGAAAAAAGGTTCATATTGAGCTCTTCAGGAAGCCAAATACTCAACCAGATTTATTACAAGAACTGAAGGGCAGCTAGGTGGGGCAGTGGATAGAGTACCAGCCCTGGAGTCAGGAGGGCCTGAGTTCAAATCTGACCTCAGACACAAAACACTCATTTGTGACCCTGGGCAAGTCACTTAACCCCATTGTCTAGCCAAAAAGAAAAAAAAAAAGAACTGAAGGAACAGGGAGTGAAAAACCTAAAGGAAGAGCCAAAGGACCCTGGCTTTCTCAGCCTGAAGAAAAGACTGAGTAATGATGGTGATGATCTCTCTGTCTATAAGGAAGGAAAGAGACAGAGGAAAGAGGTGTACGTTGTAGTAGTATACAAAAAATATTGGTGCGTTTGAATTAACCATGTCTTCTGCTTGGACTGGGGACTCCCTGAGGGTGACACCCGGGGACACCTAGTTCTCCTGAGAGGAGAGATCTATTTCCCCTTAAGACAAGGGCCTCATTGAGGTCAGGAATTTATTATCCTCACTATTTCCCCCTAGGAGGTGCTCAGCACGGGACTCTGCCCCAGGCTTGCTCTGTCCATATCCCTGACTGGGTTTCTTTCTCTGCTGAGTTTCTCTCCTTGGACGTTGGTGATTAGGATCTCCAGTGTATTAGGTATTAGGGAAAAGGCCTTCTTCAGACTGGTCTATTTAAGCCTGTTCTTAACAACAATGAAAAACAATCATGGAGGGATTGAAGGTTTAATCATTATCAGCACTAGACAATTTCTACCCAGCAAAGGACATAGCTTCCCTCTCCTGCCTGCTTCTGGCTTCCTGACCCAGTCTCCCCAGGGCCCCCCCCCCTCCCCCGATATCTCAGATGCCCCAGGCCTTGAAGCCAAGCCGAATGAGAGTGAGACTGACTTTCCAACCTCTAAAAAGTTATTCTGAGCAAGATCCTGACCTGGCTGACCCCCACCTCCAGACAGGATCATGGAAAATTATAGCAGGGAGCCATATCCAAATGCAACATAGAATGTCAGAGCTGGAAGGGACTTTGTTGATCATCTAATCCAACCACCTCATTCTTATGCAGGTGGAGAAAATGGAACTTGTCCAAGGTCAAAGACCAAGCCAAGTTAGGACTCAAGGCTTCTGACTTTTATACTACCACCTTGGCCTGGGTTTCAGCAGAAAGCCCTTGAGTTAGATCTCAAGAAGGACTCCTCCCTCTCCTCTTAATAGTATTTTATTTTTTCCAATTATATGTAAATATAGTTTTCAACATTCACTTTTAAGATTTTGGGTTCCAAATTTTTTCCTCCCTCTCCTTTCCCCTCCCCAAGATGGCATGCAATCTGATATAGGCTATACATGTACAATCATATTAAACATTTCCACATTAGTCATGTTGTGAAAGCAGAATCAGAACAAAAGCGGAAAACTACAAGAAAGAAAAAAAAAGAGAAAAAATAGTATGCTTCAAAATGTATTCAGATTCCATAGTTCTTTCTCTGGATGTGGATAGCATTTTCCATCATGAGTCTTTTGGAATTGTCTTAGATCATTGCATTGCTGAGAAGAACTAAGTCTATCAAAGTTGATTATCTCACAATGTTGCTTTTACAGTATACCATGCTCTCTTGGATCTGCTTACTTCACTCAGCATCAGTTCATGTTAAGTCTTTCCAGGTTTTTCTGAAGTCCACCTGCTCATCATTTCTTATGGAACAATAGTACTCCATTACATTCATATACCACAACTTATTCGGTCATTCCCCAGTTGATGGGCATCTCCTCAGTTTCCAATTCTTTGCCACCCCTATAAATATTTTTGCACATGTGGGTCCTTTTCTACTTTTTTATGATCTCTTTGGGATACAGACCTAGTAGCAGTATTGATGAATCAAAGGGTTTGCACAGATTTATAGCCCTTTGGGCATAATTCCAAATTGCTCTCCAGAATTGTTTGATCAATTCATAATTCCAATGCTGTAGTGTTCCAATTTTCCCACATTTTCTCCAACATTTATCATTTTCCTTTTTTGTCATATTAGTCAATCTGCTAGGTGTGAGATGGTACCTCAGAGTTGTTTTAATTTGCATTTCTCTGATAAGTAGTGATTTAGAGCCTTTTTTTCATATGACTATAGATAGCTTTTATTTCTTCATCTGAAGACTGGCTGTTCATATCCTTCGACCATTTATCAGTTGGGGAATGACTTGTATTCTTACAAATTTTTCTCAGTTCTCTATATAATTGAGAAATTGGACCTTTATCAGAAATTGGTAGTGAATTGTTTTTACTACAGTAAAAATTGTTTCCCAGCTTTCTGCTTTCCTTCTAATTTTGGTTGCATTGGCTTTGTCTGTGCAAATTTTTTTTAATTTAATGTAATAAAAATTATCCATTTTGCATTTCATAATGTTCTCTGTCTTTTTTTTGGTCACAAAGTCTTCCCTTCTCCATAGATCTGACAGGTAAATTATTCCTTGCTCTCCTAATTTGCTTCTGGTATCTCCCTTTATGTCTAAATCAAGTATCTATTTTGCCCTTATCAAGAAGAACTCTTGAATGAGGAAGATTGGCAGGTATTGGAGAGGGGTGAGCCTTTGGGAATCTGAAAAACCTAATATGATCTTGGACTTCATTAGGGAAAGCATAGAGGGAGTTTCTAGCCACTTGGCAACCCATCAGCACATGTTAATTAAACTGTTTATCTTCTCAAAAAAAAAAGAAAAGGAAAGACATAATATCCAGAACAAAGGAGGTAGATTTAAAGCCAGTGGTCAGTGGAAAGAGTGATTTTGAGTCAAAGAGCCTGGTTTTAAATTCAAACTTTACCACTTACTAGTTTTGTGACATTGGATAAATTACTTAACTTCTCTGGGAATCAGTTTCTTTTGACAATCTGTGAAATGTTGGAGTTGGACTAGATATTTGAGGTCCAGACTCAAATCTTCCATCCTATGTTAGTTCCACCTTCCACTGCCTTGATCAGAACACATCTGGACTATTGTGTGCTGCTCTGGGGACACATTTTGCCACATTTTAGGAAAGGCATTGACAAGCTGGGAGTGTCTCCAAAAGAGTGTGAATGAGATGGTGAGGAGACATGATGCCACACCATAAAAGGATAGGAATGAGGATATTTATCCTCGAGAAGAGAAGATTTAGGGGAAACATGATAGTATTTGAAGTATTTGAAGACTGTCTTGGAGAAAAGGGATTAGATTTGTTTTGCTTGGCCCCAGAGGCTAGAAATAGGAACCCTGACTGAAGAGTGCAGAGGCAGATTTCAGTTGGTTGGAAGGAAGATACTCCTAAAGGTAATGGGCTGCCTTGAGAAGTAGTGGCGTCACCTCCTAGTGAAGAGCTTCCAGAAGAGACTGGAGGACTTGTCAGGGATGTTGTAGAATGGAATCCCGACCAGCTGCTATGGAGAAGGGGGTGGAGAGGAAGGGAACAAGCTTTTATTAAGTGCCTACTATGTGCCAGGCATTGTACTAATCACTTTACATACATTGTCTCATTTGGTTCTCTCAACAACCCCGGGATTAACCCCATTGTTGAAGAATCTGAGGCAGAGCTTAAGTAGTTTTTCCTAGAAGACTTATCAGCTTGGTACTTTCCTAGACTTTCTCTACAATGTCCCAGAAACCTCTTCACCCTGGAAGCTCTTTCCACTCCTGTACTTCACATAAGTACCCCTCTCCCCTGTTGACTCTCCCTCTGATTAGCTGTTTCTTCCTGAACCTTCATTGAAGCTCCTGACCTGCCTGGGGTAGGGGTGGGGGTGGGGGTGGGGGTGGGGGTGGGGGGTGTGGAAATTAAGTCACCTGTTTGCCAATAAAAAACCCAACACCCTGAATTAAGTTCTAATCCTGGCTCTGACACAGAGTTCGCGAACGAACTTCTGAAAATAATTTTCCCTCTATTGAGCTTCAGTTTCCTTATTTGTAAAATTGAAATAGATTATTTCATATAGAGCTGATGATCGATAAATAGACAGAGACAGACAGATAGATAGATAGATAGGTAGATAGATAGATAGATAGATACATAGATACATAGATACATAGATACATAGATACATAGAGAGATAGATAGATAGAAAGTTCCCTTCTAGCTCTTAAAGGCCACAATTTCTAACTCTGGGGAGTGTTCCCTACCCTCTCCCATCCTAACCCTAAACTGACCTCCAGGTCCCATGGGGCGGGAGGTGGCAGGGGAGGGAAGGAAGGGGAGGGCCAGGGATTCCTCACTCTACTGTTACCCTAGAAAAGTCTAAGGAAGCTGAGGCCCAGATGAGAGGGTAAGAAGGGAGTAGGTTAAGTGCTAAGCTTTCTGGCTCTGGCCAGAAAACAAGCCCAGCCCTGCACTTCCCCACCACCCACCCACCCTAACAAACCCATTGAAATGGGCGCTGGTTCTCTTTGAGATTGGCACTGGGGAACCAGCAGGCAACTTGGAGGGAGGAGAGTGTGAGCAATGGGTCCAGAGGGATGGGATGGGACGGGATGGGACGGGGCGGGACGGGGCGGGGCGGTCAAGAAACCAGAGGAGAAAAAAGTTAGGCTCTGAAGAGTCCTGAGCCCAGAACAGCTGTGGGTGAAGCTGGGGAACTTAGAGGATGCAGAGAAAATACCTAGAGGTGGTCCTGGAAAGAACTCTAAGAAATCTGCTGTGAAAGAGCCCCCAGGGGCGCTCAGGAAGAAAGAAGGCTGGCTTAAAGAGATCGAGCCCGGGTCCAAGAGTTCTGGAGGACAGACTTGCTGGGAGGAGATTGGGGATCCAGTGCAGAGAGAACCCCGAGGGCAATCACGGCGGGAGAGAACCCCAGTGTGGGGAGCGGATCGAGCGAGGAAATAGATAGCTGAGCGGAGATCTACCTATCAGAGACCCCCAGCGGGGGATCACACTGGAGAGACCGTGAAGGGCGATCACTTGGAACTAACCCTGAGAAGTATGGCACGAGGAGAACTCTGAAGGCGATCATTGAGGGGGAGAACCTTAAGCAACGTTTTCCTAATACTGGAGGACTTGGAGGGGGTGGAAGAGAGAGGGTCGTGGAGAGCACCTAGAGAGGCTTCGCGCGGGGATCGAGCTTGGTTTGGGAAAGCGTGGGCTTCCCGAGGGCAGCGCTGGCACAGAGCACCTGGCGCTGAGCAGCAGCGAAGGAGGAGGACGAGGAAACAGGAGGCTGACTCACGTGGGCCGGGGGGGCACAGGTGAGGCTGCAGTCTGGACGAGCAGGGGCGTGAGCCTGGATCCCGGACTCACAGCATACGCGCACGCGACTCCTCTCCAAGGAGCTGTGGTCAGCTCCCGGGCAGGTGTGAGGTCAGGCGAGGTCAGGAGCTGGGACCTAGGCATAGGCACACTGATGGGCGCAGGAACAGGGAAAACAGAGCGGAGTTGCTCTAGAGAAGCCTGTCCTGATTTCTGCCTCCCCCTTCCCTTTCTTTGTCCTCTACTGCAAGCACAGGCTAGAGACTCGGGATGGTTTCCCTCTCCTTGCTGTGGTGGAAGAGATCTGGGCTAGAAGGTAGGAGACCTAGGTTCCTCCACTAATTTGCTCTATGATCTTGAGTAAGTTACTCGAACCCGTTCGTCCTCTTTGAGGGGAAGGGGTGGGGGGGGGAAGAATAAGGGAAATAGGCATTTACATAGAGCCTACTATGTGCCAGGCATTATGCTAAGTCTTTTTTACAAATATACTTCCTTTGCTCCTTACAACAACCCCATGAGGTAGGTGTATATCCCCACTTTAGAGAGGAAACTGAAGCAGCCGTTAAGTGACTTGCTTGCCCACATCCAGTGTCAGACGCTAGCAGTGTAACTCTGGTCAAGTCATAGCCTCAGTTTCCTCGGTTGTAAAATGGGGATAAAAAATAGTACTTACCTCCCAGAGTTGTGAGGATCAAATGAGATAATATTTGTTTAAAGCTTAGCACAGTGCCTGGCACACAGTAGGCACTATATAAAGACTTATTCCCTTCCCCCTTATTACTTACATGACTAATAAGTGTCTGAGGTTGAATTTAAACTGTCTTCCTGTCTCCAGGCTCAATGTTCTATCCACCTAGCTACTCTTTGAATATTTTTCTCTTTCCTTCCCGAGACAGAAAAAAAGGATTCCCAATTCTAACTTGTTTCCTTCCAGGAAGAGTGTGAAGAGAAAGCAGGTATTGGGTATCTACTAGCAGAAATCACAGAACGTTAAGTCACAGCTAGAAGGGACTTAGAGCATATCTCGTCTCTACTTCCACCCATATCCTCATTATACAAATGGAGAAACTGAGGCCCTAAAATGGAAAATGTCTTATCCCAGGTTACACAGCAAGCCAGTGATGGACAATCAGGATTTAGAACCCAGGTTTCCTGACAGCCAGTCCAGGTCACTAAAGCTGTCTGCTGTGATTCATTAAATCACCAGCTAAATTATTCAACATCCCTGTCCTTTTGTCACACCCTTACCCCACCCCATAGGATTCCATCCAGTCTGAACGCCTTTGAAAAAGGAAAGAATTTTTAAAAAAGGGAGGGGGGGAAGATGTTGACTGACAGGAGCAAACACCTTGAGATTCTCTGGGCTTCTTTCACTTGGGCAGATATTTCTACTCCTCAAAGCTCTTTCCCAATACCTCCTCTTGTTTGATTTTCAAACAGCTCTACACTACTGCCTCTCTTAAGTTAAGTCATTTAATGTCTTTGAGCCTCAGTTTTCTCAAGAAGGGAAGCTGAGAAGGACTTGGGCTCAGTGGCATTGAGTGACTTGCCCAAGGTCACAAACTCATTAAGTGGCACAGCTAAGTCTTAAACCCAGATCTTTTGACTCAAAGTCCAGCTCAGAATTCTTTCCACTACACACATTGCTGTTCCTCAAAATTTCCCCATTTCACAGGTGAGGAAATCGTGTTAGAGGGGGGCCATAGTACCTGAGAGTTGGAAGGACCCACAGGGGCTTCCAGTCCAACCCCTTAGATTAACAAGACAAGTCACACAGATGCCCCTTGAAGTGCTTTGCCTAAAGTCCTGCACACACACACACAGCAAGTCAGTTGGCAGAATTAAGGTTAGGACCCAAGTCTTCTGACTTTAAGACCCTTTCCACTGAACCAGGTTATATGAGGAATGTGACTATATGACAATATGAAGAATATAAAGAGAAAAACAGATGCTGTCACTTGGGGAGGGTGGAGCCCGAGGTCCTTTCTTGATTGGGAAGGAAAGGGAGAAAAAAGATTGGAGGGAGCTCAGGACAAAAGATAAAAATGTGGAAATCAACCTGAGAAAGGAGAAAACATGGTATGAAAGGAAGACTATAGGCTGTCTGTTAAGGAGTGGCTTGAGGTGGATGCGTGAGTGTGCCTGCCCAACCCCCAGTCCCTGGGCACTCACCTAGAGGGTGTTACTAGTGACTTGGACCCAGAATGTTTACCTTTTAATGCAAAAGGGATTAACTTCCTGGGATTAACCCTACCCTCTCTACCTGAGCAGCTCTTTACCTTCTTTTCTGATGTCTCACTGACTTTTCCTGATATCCATCAACCAATCAGCAAGCATTTATTAAACACCTACTCTGAACCAGGTAAGTGGAGCACTGGACAAAGACCAAAACAGCTTGCTCACAAGGAAAACACACACACAAACACACACACACACACACACACACACCTACCTATACATATATAATGTGTGTGTGCTTTATATATTTAAACACTTTGTTATTCAGCCATATCTGATTCTTCGTGACCCCATTTGGGGTTTTCTTGGCAAAGATACTGGAGTGGTTTGCCATTTCCTTCACCAGCTCATTTTACAGACTAGGAAACAGAGGCAAACAGGGTTAAGTGACTTGCCCAGTGTCTGAGGCTGGATTTGAACTGGGGTCTTCCTGACTCTAGGCCCGGCATTCTATCCACTGTGCCACCTAGCTGCCCCAATTTTTAAACAAACATGCATGCATACATATTTGTGTATATATACATATACACACATAATTTATACACATTTGTGTGTAACTGGACCTGGAATTCCATTGGCTTAGGGAACTCCCAGGTGAGGAAACGCCCTCTACCAATGTAGATAGGCATCTTCTTTACAATTTATAGGCCTAGGAAATTGTCTGGAGAACTAAGAGGTTAAGGCTCTTGCCCAGGGTCACACAAGCGGTATGTCAAAGGCAGGACTTGCACCCAAGGCTTCCTAGCTTTAAAGCAACTTTTTTTTCTTTTTTCTTTTTTAATTCAATTTTATTTTATTTTCAGTTCCAGATTTTTTCTCTCTCCCACCTATTGAGAAATCAAGAAATATAAAACCATGAAATCATGTGAAACAAATTTCTGCATTATCCATGTTCTTTTTTAAAAAATGAAAGAAAGAGAAAGAGTATGCTTCAATCGAATTATAAGTCCATCAGTTCTCTTTCTGGAGGTGGATTGCATTTTTCGTCATAAGCCCCTTTGGAATTGTGGTGGGTCATTGTAATTAATGATCAGGGTCACTAAGTCTTTCACATTTGATTATCTTTACAATATTGCTGTTACTGTGTAAATTGTTCTCCTGGTTCTATTCACATTACTTTTCATCAATTCATATAAGTCTTCCCCAGTTTTTCTGAAACCTTCTCCATCATTTCTTATGGCACAGTAGTAACCCATTGAAATCATATACCACAACTCTCACCCTTCGGGTGGCTTTGCTTAGTTGAGTTTCTTGACAAGCTTTTTTAAAAATTAGATTAATGTTCCACTGCTCCCCTCTGTTTTATGAGATGATCTTGCTTAAAATCATCCATTATCTTTCTTCATAAGATTTTTCCAAATAGTTTACATTGTAAACCAGTGTGCCTTTGGCCTTCATTTCTTTTTTCTTGGCAAGTAAGTCAGATATGCTAAAGTGTTTTCTGGCTTCTTTTTATCTTCTTATTGTGACAGAAAATTTAGATTGGTTAAACTTCTGTATAAGATTATTGTAATTGGTGTCAATGTTATTTCTGTTATCCATTTCCCAATTTTCATTGCCAAATGTTTGAAGACTGAGTTGTTTCCATTATATGCCATATCTTTTTCTTTGTTCTTACTTTTTTCTTTTTTTTTTAACCAATTCAGACCTTTAACCTGACAAATCAATGGTTAGACTCACATAGACAGTTAATTAAGGATTAAGGATTAACTCCCACATCAAATAACAATTCTTTTTCAGTCTGTTAAAATATAACCTGTTTTATTTTTGTGGTGTTATTTGATTCTTGACATTTTCAGCATCTGCCAATTATTTTCTGTAAAAAAGACTCATAATAGTGTGCCATAAGTTAGGGCAAAATTTGCAGCTTCAGAGGAAAGTAGGAAGACCTCTCTGAATTGAGGAAGAGTGAAGTGAGCAAAACCAGGAGAACATTTTACACAATAACAATAGCATTATAGAGAAAAACAACTTTGAAAGACTTTAAAATTCTGATCAATGTGAAGACAAAGCATGATTCCAGAGTTCCAAAGATGAAGCGATGAAGCAAGTTATCCTCCTCCTGCTAGAGAGGTAAGGGACTTAAAATCCAAAATCAAACATGACTAAAGTAGGAATTTGCTTTGCTAGACCATGAGAGTTTTTTGTGGATTTTTTACTTGTTTATTTGAGGAGTTGAGGATAACAGGGAGAGAGAATAAACATAATAAATGCTTGTAAAAATAAATTAATTTAAAAAAAAAGAAATCATATACCACAACTTGTCCAGTCATTAATAGGCATTCCTTCAGTTTCCAATTCTTTGCCACCACAAAAACAGCTGCTATAAATATTTGTACATATAGGTCCTTTTCCTTTTTCTTTGATCTTTTTGGGGGTGTATAGACTTAACAGCAGAATCACTGGATTAAAAGAATGCACAGTTTAGTAACTTTGGGGGGCATAGTTCCAAATTGCCCACCAACCCTTCATTAGTGTACCTATTTTCCCACATTCCCCTCCAATATTTGCCATTTTCCTTTTCTACCACTTCAGTCAATTTGATGGCTGTGAGGTGGTACCTCAGAATTGTTTTAATTTTAATTTGTCTGATTATTAGTGACAGAGCAATTTTTCATATAACTATTGAGAACTTTGATTTTTTTTTCCTTTGAAACTGTGGGTTGATGTGCTTTGACCATTTATCAATTGGGGAATGGCTCTTATTCTCATAAATTTGGCTCTGTTCCCTATATATTTGAGAAATCAGACTTTTATCAGAGAAACTTCCTGCAAGGATTTCCCCCCAATTTCCTACTTTTATTCTAATTTTAGCTGCACTGTTTTTGTTTGTGCAAAAAAAATTTCCACCTTATATAATCAAAATTATCTATTTTACCTCCTATAACCTTCTCTATCTTTTAAGTCAACTTTCTTTTTTTTTTTTTTTTTTGGTTAGGCAATTGGGGTTAAGTGACTTGCCTAGGGTCACACAGCTAATAAGTGTCAAGTGTTTGATCTGAGGCTGGATTTGAACTCAGGTCCTTCTGACTTCAGGGCTGGTGCTCTATCTACTGTGCCACCTAGCTGCCCCTCAACTTTTTATTTACTATTTCACCACTACAATCTGGCTCCTACCTCCATAATTAGATACTACATAGTACTGTTACCACCACCCCCAATCCAGCAATAACTACTTATATTGATTAAGTACAAATGCATTAAATGGTGAGCTCTGTGGAGCCTCAAAATGACCTGGAGTTTTCCCCCTTTCCATGCCTTTTCTCTAAGCATGAATTGCCTTCCTTCCCCCTGTTTCCCTGTTGAATTCCTTCTAGTCCTTTAAACCTCAGCTCATGAGCTACCTCCTCCAGGAAGCCTTCTCTGTCTCCCTAGTTAGTGATGACCTTTCTCTTTCTTGGATCTCTTTGCACTTCCCCAATATGCTTATCCTGCATAATGCTTTATCTGTATTTATGTTTGATTACATAGTACAGACTGAGCTCCATTAGGGCAGAGATTTCATCTTATTAAAACATCCGCCTCCCCAGCCCATAGGCTGCTTGTTGGTCTCCCTGACTCAAATCTCTTCCCAATCCAGTCCATCCTCCACTCAGCTCCCAGATTGCTCTTCCAAAAATGGAGGTCTATGTCACCTCCCCTATTCAGTAAATTCCAGTGGCTCCGTATTACCTCCAGAATAAAATATGAAATCCTCTATTTGGTTTTTAAAGCTCTTCAAAACCTGGCCCTACTACCTTTCCAGTCTTCTTATAATTCTGTTGCTGAGTCATTTCAATCATGTCCAACTCTTGGTGACCCTATTTGGGGTTTTCTTGGCAAAGACACTGGAGCGGTTTGCCATTTCCTTCTCCAGTTCATTTTACAGATGAGAAAACTGAGGCAAACAGGGTTAAGTGACTTGCCCAGGATCACATGGCTAGTACATGTCTGTGGCTGAATTTGAACTCAGGTCTTCCTGACTCCAGGCCCAGTCCTCTATCCACTGCACCACCTAGCTTCCCTCATTCTTTTACCCTCCTCCACACATATTCTTAGATCCGGTGATACTGATCTTGCTTTTCCTTACACCAGGCACTCTATACTATCTCCCTCCTTTTCTTTGCCTCCTGGTTTCCCTAGTTTCCTTCAAGTCTTAGCTAAAATCCTACCTCCTGCCTTTCCTAGTCCTCCTTAATCTTAGTACATTACCTTTAAGATTACTCCCAATTGTATTCAGTATATTCCTTGTTTGTACATAGTTGTTTGCATGTTGCCCCCCCCTTCATTAGACTATAAGCTCCTTGAGGGCAGGGACTATATTTTGCCTTTCTTTGTATCCCTGGTGTTTGGTACAGTTCCTGGCCCATAGTAGGTGCTTAATAAATGCTAGTTGCTGGCTAACCCAATGCTTTTTACACAGTAAGTGCATAGTAAGTGTTTGATTGAATGGGTTCAGACAGATTATTTGGTAAGTGCTCAAAGAGAGGGGAGGGAGAAACAGAGGGGGACAGAGTGGAAAGAACCCAGGACTTGGAAGTCAGAAGACTTCAGTTTGGGTCTTAGCTCTGCTATCGACCTGTTGTGTGACCCTAGGCTGGCCCTCATTTTCCCCATTTGTAAAAGGAGGGGTCTGGATTAGATGTGACCCTAGGATGAAATAGAACTCGATTAGGTCTTGAAAGCTGATGAGGCTTTGGATATAGGGTCAGTAGAGGGGATGACACCCCCCTCCCCAGGAAGTCACTCCAGGCATGGGGCACTTTGTGAGCAAAGCGACTACAGTGACCCTGGGATGTTTTGGGGATGATGAATAAGGGTGTAGCAATAAGGAGGAAGGGAAAGGGGGAAGTCTTGGTTCCTTCATGTTAGGTCAGGACTGGAAAGAAGCCACAGAAAAGGGAAGTAGGAATGGGGTGAGAGGCCTTGTGGAGGATCATAGGGCTGCTTCCTTCCTGACGCTGGACAAAGTTGTTGTTGGGCCCCCAGAAGTGGGGCCGGGCAGCAAAACCTGATGCTGGACAGAGAGCGGTGAGGCTGGACACTAGTGCATGTGGATCTGCCTTTAAATGGGACACCCCAAATCAATGACCTCTTCTAAGAAGCCTTCCCAGACTAACTCCATGAGACTCCATAGTTTTTCTCCACAGAGTCTGGCTGTCATTGGAATCCTCTTTAGAAGGCTTGGTAACTCTTTCCACCTTCATGCTTATTATATATCTCCTTTAGGTCAGGGCAGAAGCTGACTCCCCAAGATGAGGAGTGGGGCTCCCCAAGGACCATGTGTCCCCCTCAGACCCTCAGGTTCTCTGAGGGCAGAGGTTATCTCCCCGTTCATACAGGGGTTTCCTGAAGGCAAAATCTGTGTCTTTCTCCAAGACAGCAGGGACAGGAAGGTCCCTATCAATAAGAGAGTGTGAAAGAAAAGGAACCCGTCTTTAGAGAGATAGCCTTGGCTACCCAGCCGAACGGTGCAGTGAGTAGAGTGCTTTACTGGAGTCAGCAAGGTCTGAGTTCAGATACTTCCTAGCTATGTAACCCCGGGAGTCATTTCACCTGTCTCAGCCTCAGTTTCCTCATCTGCAAAAGGGAGCTAATAATAGCACTGATTTCACAGGGTGGTTGTGAAGCTCAAATGAGATGGGGCAGCTAGGTGGCACAGTAGATACAGCACCGGCCCTGGAGTTAGGAGGACCTGAGTTCAAATCCAGCCTTAGACACTTGACACTAGCTGTGTGACCCTAGGCAAGTCACTTAATTGCCTTACCAAAAAAAAAAAAATTCAAATAATGTGTAAAGTGCTATACAAATGCCAGCTATTGCTACTGCAATATCATTGAGGTTGAGTTCCCAGCGTACACCACCCCCCACACACACACACAGTTCTTTACTCTTTCTGTCATTCAATAATGAAGTCAGGTTCTATCATTTTAACCTCTAGTAATTGGGGGTCACAAACATGCCTGCCTGGCTAGAGAGAGAGGTGCTAATATCTTGGAGCTGTTTGGGGAGAGGGGAGGAGAGAGAGAGAGCACGCGCGCGAGAGCACACAGGTATGAAAACAGGGCCCAGAACCAGTCTGAAGTGACTGAGCTGGAGTTGGGTTTCATAGATAGATCATGTAGCCTACCCTTTTGTTTTACAGAGGAAGAAACTGAGGCACAGCACAGAGAAGGGACTTGCTCAAGGCCACCAAAACTTGTAAGTATCCCATAGGGCACTTTAACATAGTAATAGCTAGCGTTGATACAGCCTTTAAGGCCTACAAAGAGCTTCATGTGTTAACTCATTTGATCCTCACTATGATCCTGGAGGTAAGTGCTCTTATTATCCCCATTTCACAGATGAGAAAACCAAGGCAAATAGGAATTAAATGACATGTCCAGGGTTACATGGCTAGTAAGGTCTTCCTTACTAGCTTCCTTACAACTGAGGTCTTCCTAATTCCCAAGATCTGTACTCTAGCTACCATACCACCTAGTTGCCTCCCCTTTAACCTGGATCTCCTGACTTTGAGCCCAGTGCTCTTTGCATTCTGATACCCTGCTAGCTGGGCCTGGAGTGGAAGGGAACTGTAGAGACACTCCCCCAGGACTCTTCACAAAGCCCCCATCCCTCCTCAGTCTTCATCCCTCTGTTTGCCCCATGGCCTGATCTTCTCTGGGCTCTCCTTCAGTATTCTTCTCTCCTTCCGCCCACCTCTGTTCCTGTTTAGGTCAGGCCTTTCTAGAGCCCAGTTCTTCCAAGTACCAGCCCTCGAGGACTACACTCATCCCTCATACCTCCTTCACAGCTTCTCAAAGTCATAGAACACATAAAACTGCAGAACAAGGCTCATGTCTTGCCCTAGAACATAGAACATGAAAGCAGACAGAATGCTTCTAAGCCACAGGATGTCAGAGCTGGGAGGGACCTCAGATCATAGAATATCAGAGCTGGAACAGAGCTTAGAACACAGAATGTCTGATCTGGAAAGGCCCCACATTAGGACTTGAGAATATAAAACAATGAATTCAGAGCTGAGAGGGCTCTTCAGATCTAATACAAACTCTCATTTTACCAAAAAGGGAATTGAGACCACAAGATCTGTATGGAGGACTCCTGACTTCCAGCTCGAAGGTCTTCCAATTGCTCCTCTCCTCTTCCTCACAAGGTCCATGGTCTCTTGTTACCATTACAATTTTGTTCCTCTTATTCTTCTTAAAGATTTGTTCTTGACTTCATGAGTTCCCCATGAAACCACAAACAGCCCCAGAAAATTGGATTGCCTTAAACTCATTATTATCACTTTTAAAGTGTTAATTCATTTGATCCTCACAACAACCTGGGGAGGTAGGTACTATTATTATCCCCATTTTATAGTTGAGGAAACTGAGGCAGACAGGTTAAGTGACTTGCCCTGGGTCACACAGCTAGTGTCTCAGATTGGATTTGAACTCAAGTCTTCCTAACTCCAGAAACAGCACTCTAGCCACTTCACCACCCAGCAGCCTCCAGAGAAGAGAAATCTAAGGAATAGGATCTGGGAAGGGTTTCTGAGGAGTCAAGGAGGGTGAGAGGGTGCCAGATATACACGGCTTTGATTTTAACAGTTCATTTCTGGGACCTGTCTAGGTTCTTCCATCACCAAAACTTGATTCAGCTGAGTCCATGGAAGGAAGTAGGGTGGGAGAAATGGCAGAGCCCATAGCCTGGGGCAGCTATGACGCAGTTAAAGTTCTGATACTTGATGTGTGACCTTGGACAAGTCCTCTCCCCTCCCTAGCCCTTAGCTTCCCCAACTACAAAATGAGGGAGTTCATCTGAATGACTTCTGAGGTCCTTTCTAGCCCTGAGATTCTGTGATTCTATCAAAGCCCTGGGGGTGCTGACATTCTGTGTTCTAATAAGGTCCTTTCCTTCCATAGAATCTTTGATTTTATGAAATCCTCTGTTATACCAGCCTGGGTTTGAGGCTGTGGTCTGTGTTTTGTTTTTTTGGGGTTCCTACCACCATCATTTTTCTGTCTTTTCCCTCCCCACCCTCCCTCCTCTCTCCTTGCTAGGCTTTCTGTCCCATCCATCTCCAAGAAGTAAGGAGGAGGGACAGAGAAGTCTTGGGAAATTAGGTAAGGAGGTAACAGAGCCCAGGAGAAGCCTCCTAATTGGGACCATAGAAGTTAGGGTTGCTAATAGGTCAAGGGCTTCTAGGATTTCAGAACTCCAGGGATCTTGCTTTTCTTTTGATTTCAATCAATTGGTAAACATTTATTAAGCACAAACTATGTGCCAGGCGCTGTACTAAGTGCTGAGGATACAAAAAGAGATAAAAGACAGTCCTTGCCCTCAAGAAGCTTACAATCTAACAGGGAGGCAACATGCAAACAAATATATACAAAGCAAGCTATATACAGGATAAATAGAAAATAATTAACAGAAGGAAGGCACTGGAATTAAGGGGTTGGGGAAGGCTTCCTATAGAAGAAGGGATTTTAGTTGGGATTTAATGGAAGCCAAGGAGGTCAGTAGTTGAATGGAGGAGGAAGAGTATTCCAGGCATGGGGGAGACCAGAGAAAATGCCCAGGGCCAAGATAGAGTGTCCTGTTTGTGGAACAGCCAGGAGGCCAGTGTCACTGGATCAGAGGATGCACTGGGGAGTAAGGTATAAGAAAATTGGAAAGGTAGGAGGAAACTAGGTTATGAAGGAGTTTGAATGCCAAACAGAGCATTTTGTATTTGTTCCTGGAGGAAATAGGAAGCCACGGGAATTTATGGAGTAGGTGGCTGACACAATCAGACCTTCACTTTAGGAAAATCACTTTAACGAATGAATGAACAGATTGGAGTAGGGAGTGACTTGTAGGAGGCAGACCCACCAGCAGCTATTTCAATAGTCCAGGCATGAGGTGATGAGGGCCTGCCCCAGAGTGGTGGCAGTGTCAGAGGAGAGAAGGGGGTGTATTCAAGAGATGTTGCAAAGATGAAATCAACAGGCCTTGTCAAAAGATTCAATATGGTATGTGAGGGTGAGAGATAGTGAGGAGTCCAAGATGAATTCTACCTAAAAGTCTACCTACCTTCTACCTACTTCTACTATAAGCCTGCAGGACTGGGAAGATGGTGCTGCCCTCTGCAATTGTCGTGAGGATCAAATGAATTCATATTTGTTAGTGCTTAGCACAGCACCTGGCATATAGTAGGTGCTTTATAAATACTAGCTACTATTATTAGGAGACTGAGACTCAGAAAAGGGAAATGAACTATAAATTTGCACAGCTAGTTAAATGCGGAATCTAGGACCCAAACTCTGGTCTCATGGTTCTAAATCAAGCACTCTCAGTTCAGCTCCTATCTTTTCTTCCTGCAGCCCAGCCAAAGTGGCATATCAACTATAAGGTGCAGACTTTGAAAGATTATGTCAGTTATGATCGAAGGAGGAAATAATCTGGGCTGGTGTCTGATAGGACCCTATAATGTGGCCCTAATTGGGTTGCTCCCAACTTTGTACTTGGAAGTAGGTGAAATAAAGAAGGGGTTCATCAGTATTTATGGAAGATGAGGACAGTTTTGACCTGTAGCTTTGCTAGAGGATAGGCCTTTGGCTTAATATATTTGGGATTATGTGGCTTCAGCTAATCAGTAGCACTAACACTCCAGAATAGAATGCTCCCCCACCTTTCCTTCCTACCTAAATGGCAGCCAGTAGGTTATAAGGATATAGTCCAGGATCTCTGGAGTCCCAATATTCTGCCACAAAGAGGGTCCCCCTAGCTTTTTTTTTTGTTCGCTTTCTTTGTTATATACAGCTTTGTCCCTGAAGTATAATGGACCAGCCTAAACACTAACCCAGAGGCCTAGGCTCTCCCCACCTTTACCTGCTGCCTACAGGTAGCCTCAGAGTAAGAGGAGGGCCAGTTCTCTCCTTAAGTACTGTCAGCAATTGTTGCCTCCCAGCCCAAATGTCTCAACTTCCTTGGATCCCCAATTGTGGGAACTGGATAAGGAGCAATCAGGAAAGTCTTTCTGGAGGAGGTGAGCTTGGGAAGGCCCTGAAGGAAGGGAAGGCTCATGGTTGCCACATCCTTTGCCAGAGGAGAGGACATGAGGGTGTCCCAGGAATGGGGGAAGGGTCATCTCTTTGTGCCTTGTAGACTGAGAGATTTAGAGAAACATCTTTTTGGGGGAACTCTTTTGCAGATACCATTGCTGATGAGAGAGTGGAGACAGGGCCCTCTCCACTGAGCAGATAAAACCCAGGCTGAGACAAAGCCTTCTTCCTCCCCCTATCTCTCTTCAGGTCCTGACTTTCTCTTTCCCTAATAACAACCTTTCATATTGGTGATCATAAAGCTCTTTGACCTCCATTGTCTCATGTCATCCTCAACAAGTGAGGTAGGCAGAGCAGGAGGTATTACCCCCATTTTGTAGGTAGAAACCTGTTGAGAGGAAGCGACTTGTCCATACAACTGTATTAGCAAAAGAAAGATAGGTAGCTGGAAAGTTCAGAGTAGATGCACTAGCTATCGCTTTCCATAAAATCAGAATGAAGCCTGCAGGTCCATTTCATAGTTAAGCAGACTGAGGCACAGAGAGAGAGAGAGAGGTACTCCAAGATAGCTGGGGAATTACACAGCTACTGCCCGGAAGATCTGGCCCATTCTCAGGATGTCCAGGAAAGCTGGGCTTCTTCAGGAAAATTTTCCCAAAACCAAGATGAATATCCCTACAAGAGTGGGGAAAAATAGGAATGCCTTCTTAGGCCCAGCCTCTTCATGCTCAATGGAAAATTCAATTGAGCAAACAGTGCTTTCTGTAGAGCACTGTGCTCAACGCTGGGCTACATAAAAATTTAGATAAAGCCAGGTCCCTTCCCTAGTAGGGCTTATTACAATGCAGGATCTCACAGGGGAAGTGAATTAGAGAGGTCCAGCAGAACATTATGTGAGGTCTGGGAGGAGAGAGAAGTCTTTATTAACTAGGGGACGGGGGACGGGAGTCGTGGAGGAAATCAGGGAAAGCTTCCTGGCGTTCTGAGCTGAGCTTTAAAGGATGAGTGAGAATTCAACGGTCACAAAAGGTGAAAGAACATTCCAAACACAGAGAATGGTCTGAGCAAAGGTATAGAGGCTGAAAATTATAGGGTAGATTTGAGGGACAGAATTAACCATTTTGACTTGTGTATAGAATGTGTATAAGGGAGGAGGTTGAGGCAAGGCTAGAAAGTAGGTAAGGTGATACCAGGTTGTGGAAGGCTTTGGACGTCAGAATAAGCAATTTGAATTTTGCTCAGCTAGAAATTTTCTGTGACCAGACCTATGCACAAGAAAGATTATTCTGGTAGTAGATACAGAATGGATTAGAGAGGGGAGAAATCAAAGGTGAGAGGGCCTATATGTTATTATAATAATGGCTATTATTATTATTATCCAGGATAATTGTAATTATGGGGACATACCACATCTCATACTGAGTAGAAAAGTGGAGATATTTGGAGAGATACTCTAGGCCTTGGGCCACTTAGAGCTAATCTAAGTCCTTTGGCATGTAGCCCTGGCTTTCACTTTTCACTGTTGTTCAGTCATTTCAGTTGTGTCCAACTCTTTGTGACCCCTTGTGGGGGCTTCTTGGCAAAGATTCCTCCATTTTCTTCTCCAGCTCATTTTGCAGATGAGGAAACAGAGGCAAACAGGACTAAATGACTTGCCCAGGGTCCCACAGCTGTTAAGTGTCTAAGGTCAGATTTGAATTCAGGTCTTCCTGACTCCAGGCCCTGCATTCTATCCACTGTGCCACCTAGCTTCCCCTAAAAATAAAAATAGGATATTATTATTAAGAACAATAATAATAACTAGCACACACTTAGTACTTTTAAGTTGTTACAATCTTTTCCAACCCTCTTTTCATTTCAGATGAGGAAATGGAAGTCCAGAGGGGTTTAGTGATTTGGACAAGGTCACACAAGTTACCTTATTTTACAAATGAGGAAACTGAGGCCCACAGAGGAAGAATGTTTTGCCCAAGGTCACACAAACTTCAGACTAACCAAAGTCTAGAAACTAATATTAATCCTTTCTGAAATACTATAGTCCTCTCAATTTAAAAAGTTGCAAATATTATAAATATAAATATTAACCAGAATTCATAATATGCTATAATCAATACCTTGCACCCAATCGATCTGTCAACTAGACTTTTTTTAATTCCTCCAGTGTGGCCAGCCCCTTGCTTGGCTACCTTGGAGGAGATGGGAATAAAAAAAGACAGACATACTGCTTTGGGGCAGTTTCCAGTATTTCACTGAGTTCAGAGAAGACTCACGTAGTTGAAACAGAATACGATAAGTACAATATTGTGGGGTTCAGACTCTAGCAAGGATTCTTAACCTGGCATGGGCGAATTTGTTTGAAAAAATATTCTTAAAACCACATTTCAATATAATTGGTTTCCTTTGTGACTATATAGGATTCTATGTATTTTATTCTATGCTTTTAAAAGCATGGTGATATAGAGAAGTGGTCCATAGAATTTTTCAGACTGCTCAAGATGTCTGGACACAGAGGTCAACAAGGACTTTATCAGGTGCTTACTGTATGCCCATGGGACACTTTGAACTAAGTGTATCACACACATCTCTAACTCAGTATGTCCAAGACAGAACTTGTTATCTTTCCCCCAAAAGCCACCTGACCTCAGAACTTCCCTACTTCTGTCTAGGAAACTACACTATTTTACCATGGAAAGTCACCCCGCAACCCTAAGAGCCATTATAGTCAAAAAGTCAAGTCAATAAGCATTTATAAAGAGTTTTCCACTGCCAGGCTTTTGCTAAACACTGGGAATACAAGCAGATAGATAGTTCCTGCTCTCAAGAGGTTTACATTCTAATGGGGGGAATGCCACTTGTAAAAAGAAACAGAAAATTGGAGAAGTTTGGGGAGGGTGCAAGTAGGTACCTTCAGGGTCCTGGTAGAGGCCAGAGTGGATCCCAAAGAGGAATGAAGGAGGGAACATGGCTGGTCTGGGCAAGTTCCTTAAAATAAAGGTTCTCAGAGAAACAAAAAAGGTTAACAACTTCCAATCTAGGGGCCATAGAAGGCAATGAAAAGAGAGAGCTCTGTGGGTTAGAAAGGCTTCCTGGAAGTGGTGGGACTGAATTTGGATCTTTAAGGAAGGGGGAAGGGAACTGATGTTTATAAGTACCTACTATGTGCCAGGTGCTCTACTAAGCACTTTACCTGTATTTGATCCTCACTACAACCCTGGGAAGTAGGTGCTATTATTATCTCCATTTTACAGTTGGGGAAACTGAGGTAGACAAAAGTTAAGTGACTTGTCCAGAGTCACACAGCTAGGAAGTATCTGAGGCCAGTGCTCAATCCACTGAGCCACCTAGGTAAGGTTAGGTGTGATTTCAAACAAAGAAGAGAAAGAAATATCTCTCTCTCTCTCTCTCTCTCTCTCTCTCTCTCTCTCTCTCTCTCTCTCTCTCTCTCTCTCTCACTCACTCATCAGTTGGTGAGCTCAGCATCCTCTTCCTACCCTGCTGCTGAGGCCTCCTAGGACCATGGAGACTCCCAATGGGACAGAGCCTTGGTACGAGAGCCTGCAGGCAGTTCTGAGAGCCCTGAATGCCACACTCCACAGGAGCCTTCCTTGCCGACCAGGACCAGGACCAGGACCACTGCTGGGTAACCAGACCCAGGCTCCCCAGACTGGCCGAGATGACAATTCCTACATGTACATCCTCTTTGTCATGTTTCTCTTTGCGGCCACAGTAGGTAGCCTCATCCTGGGCTACACTCGCTCCCGCAAGGTGGACAAGCGCAGCGATCCCTATCACGTCTACATCAAGAATCGGGTGTCAATGATCTGATGCTGTGGGGATGGCGAGGAGGTGGACCCAGCCCCCTGATACTGGGAGAGTCCTGAGGCGCCGGCTGGCAAGTGGGATGCCAACATTCCAGCCTTTCAGATTCTGAGGCTGAATCTGGCTAGACCAAAGATCATCCTAGGATTTAGAGCTAGGCCTACAAGGTCCAACCCTCTCACTTTACAGATTGTGGACACTGAAGCCCAGAAAGGGAAAGCGGTTTACCTGAGGTCACACAGGTGACTCAGTCCCTCTGTGCTCCCATGTGTAATTCAGTTCACCAAACATTCACTGCTCTGTTCACAGTGCTGTGGTCGGACACAGCAAAGAATATGACACAGTCCATGTTGCCATATACCTTATACTCTGGTAAAGGAGACATGTGCACAGATAATCATAATACAAAGTAGAATATGCTAAGGACCATAATGAAAGTACCGACACAGGGCCGGATGGGCAGAGGTACTCAAAAGGAGAGAACACTTCTAGCTAGGTGATGATCAAGGTTGGCATCTGGGTGAAGGGGAGGGGGTGGAGGAGCAGGGAAGACTTCCTGAAAGAAGAGGCAGCACTTGAATTGTGTGTGTGTGTGTGTGTGTGTGTGTGTGTGTGTGTGTGTGTGTGTATCAGACAACGCAATCATAGAAAATAAGGTCTGGGCCACAAGAGGCAGGCATGCCATGACGTTGCAGCACAGGAGACTCAGAAAAGCCAGTTGAGAGACCTGATGGCAGTCTACTCTGGGAGGCAATTGCTGTGACCAGGCATTTTCCTAGCAACAATGAACAAAAATGAGTATATGGAAGAAAATGATCTTGAGAGCAGCCAAATCTGCAGTGGGAGGCCCAGAGGCATGGTGCAGTCTGATTGAGGTGTATTGTGGACATAACAGACAGAAGACTGAGGAATTTGGGGATCTCCCCCAGTTGCAGCTGCCTTAGGCTCTGGGGTCAGCACTTCCTCATTGTGAGTTAATGTCCACTCCCTGTTAATTTCCGAGTTTCGCAGCTCAGGGTTTGGATACCATCTGGGTGTCTCAGGAAAACGGGGGTGCCTGATTGGCTCTATTTGTCTGTATCTGGGTAGCAGAAGTGAGCCAGGGGCATGGCACATGCTGCTCTGATGACATTAAGTGACCTCTGCTGATTTAGCTGGTCCTACAAATGTCAGTCTGAAGCTCTCCCTCTCCGTCTCCCTCATAATTAAGGATTAATTTAAAGGAAGAGCCTGACATTTGTGGAGGATTTCAAAACAGAGCTATTGAGAGAGGTGAAGGAAGTCCAGGCAAAGGGAATAGTTGGTAAGCAGGGCCACAGAAAAGGGAAAGGATGAAACTTTGGTTCACCTCATCTGGTTAAGACATAGAGTACGTGATGGGGAGCAGTACAAGAAAGCACTGATAAAGGAGGGCAGACTTCAAGGCTCGAAAGACTTTGAATGCCACAGTGAGGAGTCTGAACTTTGCCCTGCGGGCTATTTGGAGCCAGAGGAGAGAGATGGGTTCTTAAAAGCTGTACTTTGGGAAGATGAGCATCAGGGTGTGAAGGAAGAGAAGAAGGACAATAGACAATCATATACCTCACTCCAGAGTTTTAGAAATCCCAGCCTGGGCCTCAAGAGCAAGTAGCTGAGATAACCAGTAGGCACACTGAGCCAGATGCCTTGGCCACCACCTCCACTGTTCCATCCTCGGGAATGGAAAAGGCCATGTTCCTACCCACCAAGCTTCACGATGTCACCTTTGACCATCCAGCAAGAAATTGGTCAGAAGGACAGGGGACTGACGCCTGGTGGATGGACTGAGTCAATAATGGAAAAGAGAAGATCGGGGGCACAAGGGGAGGCAGAGAGGAGAGAATCAGTGGACTGAGCTCCTGGAATATCTTCTTCCATTGAAAATAATAACAATTCCTCAAGTCTGTGTAAAGCTTAATTCTTTTCAAATCTATTTTTATGTGCCTTACCATTGGATCCATAGAAACTCCCTGCAAGTAAGTAGTGCCGAGGGGGTTATTTATCCTATTTGACAGATAGACAAACTAAGCCAAAGTGAGTACCCAAGATATTTTCCCAAGAATATGGTAGAGCCAGGATTAGAATCTGGGTCACCTGACACCTCAGTAGGGTTTAGGCTGCATAAATAGAAGCCCAGCCTCCTGCTCAAGGAAGTAGTAGTTTCATTGTCCTATGTCCAGCTCAAGACCCCATTCTGATGTATTGTTTTCAGTTTCAGGCCACCTTTAAGGACACTGGCAAACTGGAGCATATGCGGAGAAGGGTGACCATGGGAAAGGAATTAGAGATCACACATTGTGAATACTAATGGAAGAAACCAGGGATGGTTCTCCAAGAAGCAATGTGCTATGGAAAATAAAGCACAAAATTTGGAATTGGCAAAACCTGGGTTCAAATCCTGCCTCTGATACCCACCTAGCTGTGTGACCTCTCTCCTCAGTTTTTAAAATCTCGATTTTTCTTATCTGTACAATAGGGAACCATCACTGGGTTGTCATAAAGCTCAAGTGAGATGTCTGTACAGCACCTTACAAACTTTTTTGTTCTTTTTTTATATTTAGGCAATTGGGGTTAAGTGACTTGCCCAGGGTCACACTTGAACTCAGTTCCTCCTGACTTCAGGGCTGGTGCTCTATCCACTTCACCACCTAGCTGCCCCAACCTTACAAACTTTAAAACACTATATATGGTGTCTAAAAAAATTTTAATGCAATTATGGTTTTAAATTACGCTAAGATATTTTAGGACACCCTGTATAAATGTGAGTTCACAGAATCATAGATTGAAGGTTGGCAGGAATCTTGGACAGCATCTAGTCCAAGCCCCTCATGTTATAGATGAAGAACTGAGGCTCAGAAACATCAAGTAATTATATTCAGCCTAGAGAAGAGTTAGGGGAACATAACTGACTTCAGTGCTTAACACCATTTTGCACATACTAGGTACTTAAGAAAGCTTTCTGATTTGACTTCAGATATTTGAGAAATTATCACAGGGCAGGGGGAGCAATCCTGTTCTATGCAGTCCCAGAGAGCAGAAATTGGGGCTGTTGGGAGAAGAGCTACAGGGAGAGAAATTTCTACTCCCGACATAGGGGCAGGTGGAGCTGGGAGACCACCACCACCACCCACACACCTTCAGCTCCTGTCATGCCCCATACACCGGCATACATGTGTAGCTAGATATACAAAAGTTACCAGTTCACATTTTTATAGCATTTTTAGGCTTGCAAAGCACTTTCCTCATAATATCCCCATGAGGAAAGGAGTGAAACTGCTTACTAAGCCCATTTTACAGAAGTTACATGACTTCGCCCAAGATCACATGCCTAATAAATGGCAGAACTGGGAATCAAAGCCTAAAGATTTCTTGAAACTGAGTGTTATTATGCTTGTTTCAATGATAGGATTTAGAGCTAGCAGAGACCTTAAAATCATCTAATTCAACTCCCTCATTTCACTAATGAGGAAACTGATGCCCAGAGAATAATAATAGCTAGAGTTATGTAGCACTTTACCTATGTTAATTCATTTTATCTGCACAACAACCCTGGGAAGTAGGTGCTATTATTATCCCCATTGTACAGTTGAAGAAACTGAGGCAGAAAGGTGAAATGATTTGCCCAAGCTCACACTGCTAGTGAGGCTGGACCTGTTTCCAGACCCAGCACTCTGCACTATGGCACCATCTAGCTGCCAGAGAGATTGCATGACTTCTCCAAGGCTACACAGGTAAATAGAACATCTGGGATTCAAACTTGGGATATATATGAACAAAAGTTATTCCCCAATAAGGAAATGGTCAAAGGACATGAACAGTTTTCCAAAGAAAAATTACAAACTATTAGCAATCATATGAAAGAATGCTCCAACTCAATCATAGAAATGCAAATCAAAACAATACTGAGGTTTCACCTCACAACCTTCAAATTGGCAAAGATGACAAAAATTGGGAAGGGTATGGGAGGTATGGAAAGATTGGCCCACAAATCCATTGTCTGAGCTGTGAATCAGTACAACCATTTTGGAAATTGATTTGGAATCATGCAAATAAAGTGACTAAAATTCCCAGGCCCTTTGACCCAGAGATTCCACTACTAGGCTTATACCCCAAAGAAGCCATTGGTAAGAAGAAAGTCCCCATATACACCAAAATATTTATAGCAGCACTTTTTCTGTGATAGCAAAGAATTAGAAACAAAGTAAATGCCCATTGACTAGGGAGTAGCTAAACAAATTGTGGAACATGAACGTAATTTCTTACTGTGCTGGAAGAAATATAATGAATACAGAGAAGTATGGAAAGATCACTCATGCAAAGTGAAGTAAGCAGAGCCAAGAAAACGATATACACAATGATTACAAGAATGTACATGGAAAGAACAACTACAAAATAATCAGAAGTGAATGTTACAAACTTACAAAGAACCAGCATGGTTCAAAAGGAGAGATGAGAAACCCCCATCTTACTCTTTTGTAGGAGTGGAAGGTCTATGAGTATGGTACATTGCACATATTTTCAGACTTTTTCAATCTATTGATCAGTTTTGCTGTGTTTTTTTGTTTTAAAAATATTATTTCTTATATGGAATGGCTCTCTGGGAGGAGGAGGGGAGAGATACTGGGGGAAATTTTGGTAATGTAAAAAAAGACATCAATTAAATGTTTTTAAATTTTAAAATGGCATCACAATAAAAAAAAAACAAATAAAGGATTTTATATCTGATCCTGGAGATAATAGGGAGCCACTAAACTTTATTGAGAAGGAGGAAGTGGAGAAGAGGGAGCAGGGTGAAGGGGCATATTTTGACCTGGTCAAAACTGCCCTTTAAGAAATTCACTTTTATTCATGATGGAAAATGCTATCCACATCCAGACAAAGAGCCATGGAGTCTGAATGCAGATGGAAGCATACTATTTTCTCTTTATTTCTTTTTTTATTTTTTTTCTTTCTCATGGTTTTTCCCTTTTGTACTGATTCTTCTTTCACAACATGACTAATATGGAAATATGTTTAATATGATTGTATACATATAACCTATATCAGATTGCATGCCATCTTGGGGAGGGGGGAGGGGAAGGAAAGGGAAAAATTTAGAACTCGAACACTTATGAAAGTGAATGCTGAAAACTAAGAAGAAAGAAAGAAATTTTAAAAAAAGAAATTCACTTTTTTGATGGAGCAGAGAGACCAAACAGAAAGCTATTGAAATAATCCAGGTCAATAGTAGCCAGCCTCCTGGTGATGTGTCTCTCAGTTTTAGCTCAAGCACTAAATCTCTTGCTGGACTTGTGAGTGAAGCCCTTCCAGTCTGAGAGGACTGGCCAGCAGTTGTGCTCTGCTGACATAATCTACAGGAGTGTAGGGCAGGCTTCAGGTGCCAAAGGAGCATCTGTATTACTGTTAGGTTCAGAATAAAATTGATCTGACACATGGAGAAGCAGAGCTGAAACACCATCACTACACATATTCCTGCAACCCTAGCCACGACACATATCCATGTCCCCTAATATATTTACAGATCAGTTTTATGTTATTTAACACCATTAGTCATCAATATTAGCTCAGCAGTAGTACCTTCTTCCTCTGGAAGATAAAGAGCAATTCTACTTTGGGGGGAAGGGTAAAAAGTGGGGGCAGAGGTGGGGCTGGGAAGAGAGAAGAAAAGACCTAGGATGAGGTGTGTGCTGGAACCAACTAGAACTAGCTCATTAGAGTCAATTGTTAAGTTTTCGGTGTGAGCATTTATACCTTGGAAATTGGCCAAGGCTACAAGTAAGGGTTTGATTTACTGTTTTATTGATTTCTAGACTTAAAAAAAGCGACGATGACAAAGATGATTTTAATTAGACCCCCTATTTTGCTCCAATCAGTGTTAATAAGTTCAGTGTGATTCCATAGGGGTAATGATTGTTAGCAATTATTAGTAATATACTCATTTAGTAATATACATTTAGTCAGTTTAGTCAACTAATATTAATATAAGAATAACATGTATTAATACATATTTTACATATATAATGTAGGGATAATTGGATTCTCTCTTATAGTAGGCCTCAAACTTTAAAACCTATGAATCCACTGTTCAACATTTATTTACCAGTTGTGAAGTTCATTCGCCTAACCACAAGATGGGTAATGACCAAACCCAGTGAGGATTGGATGTCTTGATGTGATATGGAAAGTCCCCCAACTTATTTCTGCACATCCAGACCAGCCTCTCTTACCCAGTGTGATCAGGGGACCATCTGATGACCACTTAGTCAGTGGAGATGACCCTTGCCTTGCCCATCCTGTGACCACCCATGCTAGTGCATCATTTCTGGCCCTTCTGGAGGATCAAAAACAGTCTATCAACCAACAAGACTCTGCATTTTACTTTGCCTCTTCTAAGTGTCTGGTTATCAAGATCTACAAAAGTTAAGCTCCAGGGAAAGGAGGTATCTCAGATGTGAGGAAGATCTGAGGTCTCATTCACTGAAAGGGTCCAGTCCCTTTAACAAATGGTTAATGGCTTGGAGCTCTGCCTCAGCGGTTTTTCTTGCAGATTGGACAATTTTGAACCCCACAATGGAGAAAATGTTAATAACGCAGATTAAATTGAAAACTGTGTCAAACATGCATGTTCCTCAGAAAGCCCGTTAAACTTTCACCAGCACACCCCCGCCTATAATCCCAGTCAGCACTGGTAAAGTACCTAAGATGTTACTGATTTAGCTTCACAAAACTCGACATGTCCAAACTGGAACTCATCCCTCTTCTTGCTCCTCTTTCCAACTTCCTTATTTCTGTTGATAGCTCCAGCATATCTCCAGCCCCCCCACACTCTGAAATTGTGATTTCTCTCATTCCTTTCCTACCTTCATCCAACCAGTCACCAAGTCTTGGAGATTCTACAGTTTCTCTTGTAAGAGATAG